TGGATATATCCATAGACTTGGTAAAGTTCATGGCATCACTCACGCTAGTTTGAACCACTTGAGCCACCGGTGTGCCAAGCCTTGACTCTTGGGCCATCCATGATCCATGCCGTTCGAATTATAGCACAACGTTCACTGACTTGACCGGTCCTAACCTCGCCCTCCACCGGTGTGCCAAGTCTTAACCCATGGGCCACCGGTGTGCGAAGTCTGACCTTTGAGCCATCGATGTTGTCTGATTTATAGAGTAACATTTACGCTGACTTGATCCGCCCGAGCCTCGCACTCCGCCGATGTACCAAACCTTGATCCGTGGGTCACCGGTGTACCAATTCGTAACCGATGGGCCCGGTGTACCAGTCTTGTTCTGGTTACCGGCGAGGGCCAAGTATCTTGGGCCATTGACGACCCATGTCATTTGATATACAGCATGACATCTTCATTGATTGATCCGTTCGAATCACTTGGGCCACCGGTGTACCAAACTCAGCGAACTCTTTTCCAAGCTCCTATCCTGCTTATTCTAAAAATCGCGAACTTTATTAACCAGTAATCTGCGCAAAAAATTGTGCGGAAATGCGGTTTTGGAAAACCTAAAAGTACATCATCTTCATAGACTCTCATGCAATGACAAAGTAAGTTTCTCACTAAAAAAATAATTCACTCAAAAAAAACGTGTCGTCCCTCTTTTTTTCAAAAGACATAGTACATATGTACTGTGGGAATTTTATTTTTCCATTAGAAGAACTTCTCAATGATCAACTAATTTTTTAACATTTGTCGTTTTAGAAGTCTCAAAGTGGGAGGAATTTTTTTTGCGTAACTTCTTCATCCTTTTCAAACTTTTGCCATTTGCACAACCTAAGTTCAACTTGAGTTCTCCACAAAAAAAGTCGGCAAAGTGACGGACGAGCGTATTTCACTGTTTTCGCATACATGTCACTTTCTAGTGGCATATCTTCAGCTCTCACAACCTTGGAGTCAGATCCTTCGTAGAAAACGTACACCCATATCTGCCATTCAAACTTATTCTTTCATTGAAATACAAAATTTGAGAGTTTGAGGGCAGTTCTTGGTCAGGCGGATTGCTAATTTCGAATCTGACATAGTTTTGATACAACACTGCTACCCATACATGCACTCGTCAATGGATACGGGTGTATATTTTTCCTTTGTGCTCAACTTCCACTCCACCTACATGCCTTTTCCTTTTTTTGGTAATATATTTCCGTTTTGACTGCCACGTTACTAAGGCACTTTTTATTGGATGTATGGTTAGTTGCCAAGGTTTATAATATATTGTCTTAATGTTAGCTTTGCTAGTTTCTTGCTGAAGCAGTATCATTAACAAAAAAGTTTGATCTACCTCCAACGTCAATTTCTTCATTGCTTGTGTAGCTTTTTTGTTCGAGAAATTGTTGATTCTAAGTGATCACATGATAAATGATGTAGAGACTAAAGATCGGTGATTTAAAGCGTCCAATCTTTTACAATGACTGAAAGATGGAAAGCATAGGCGTAAATTACTTCAAACCGTCATAAAACTAATAAAAAAGATCTGCAATGATATTGTTTTCATTTGGCTTACGGTGAGAAAGTTTTGAAGCAGTTTATATTCTATGCTTGAGCAAAACATACAGTTTTCTTTTGGTTTCTTCCTTCTATGATCTTGGCCCGTACTTGCAATGATATTACAACAGAAGTGCTTGCCGAAGAACGTAAAGTTTCGAAGAATTAACTTCTACAAGTTTTACTTCTGGGATCTATGACTTCGGCGAACCGGTGAATCACAAGCAAAGTGCATAATCTGTTTTTCAAACTAAGAGTAAATCCTACAAGTTCTCCCAATTTAAGAAATTTATGACCTTGTGTAACAACACGAAAGAATTTTTATAGTGACCCAGACCTTCGAATTACTGTATAATTCCGCAAACTATTACGTATTCTTAGTTATTCCGCACATACTCTCAATTCTATACAAACAGAACAATTACGCGGAAAAACTTTGAGATTTTCGGCTACACACTAATTGCTAAGTTTTGAAAATTAATGAAGGTTTTGCAGTCTTCTAAAATCCAAGTTAAACAGCTACAATTAGATGATGTCTAGGCAGTTCTACTGAAACTACGAAGTAGAGCGGACTTTTCTGGTTTTTGTACAGTTGCGAATTAATGATAGCGTACACCGAAAGAACATCTGCTTTGTTGGTAAAGAACCAGTTTTCATCAGTGATTCTCAATGTTATCACGGACTACACTCAACCTTCACCCTTGATACTTTGGATTAGATCTTTAAGACGAATTGTCTTATCATATCATGGTCTTTGCTCTAAATTTTGCGAAAATTTACTCGAGCAGGATTTTCTGTGCCCAAAAAATTCAAAAGAAATCTTTGTTTTTTGATGTATTGTATTATTTAGAACTACTTTGTATGCCAGGTTGAAGTAGTCTTGATTCTTTCTTGGAGAGTGGGCATAAGGTTTTTAGTGATTAAAATTATAGATTGAAGAATTTTTGTGAACATAAAGCTTTCAAAAGAGAGTGCATTTCGCACAATTTCATAAATTTTCCATCTCACTTTCATCGAAATCACAAACACAATTATTTATGAGAAGGTCATGAATTATTTCGATAGTTGATTACTCTTGCTTCGCTTTCTATCCTTCTCATTCCTTTATTTTGTTTTCTTTTTTTACCCTGTATAACATGAAACTCTTCTATCCACATGAAACCACCAGTATCACAAAAAGCTTCAATCTTTTTGAAATAATTTTTCTTGTTTTATTTTTTGAATCCGCATAATTAGGTGTTTGTTTGTGCCAATTTGCGAGGTGAATGCAGGTTGCAGTTTATGGATTTTGAAAAATTATCTGGCTTACAGAAAAAAACAGGATATTGTTGCCGTTGAGATTTTCAAATTTTCTACATAGATCCTTGTCATTTCTACTTTTTCATTAAACATATGTTCTTTTTGGCGCCAAAATTGTTAAGAAACTACAGTATCCTCTCAGCTGCCAACTCTATACGGAAAGAGAGTCTTGTCCTCAAAGTTCGTTTTTCAATTTGAATCTGATCTGAAATGACTCAAAATTGCCTAAAATTAGGATCTCATTTCAAAACCGTATTCAGTAGGGGGAATTTTTTGTGGCATTGCGATGCCTCTTAAAAGTACAAGGACGAGGTATCGAAACACTGGGACTGAATGTTGGTACATCTCCTTAAAGTGCACATCAACGATCAATTTCGAGCAGGTGGTTGCACCCGCGCCTCATTTTTTCGACAAGGTTCTTTTTCGGTTTCTTCAGCGGATGGGATACTGAGAGATTTTTTTAAACTTTCTTTGCGGCCCTTGTATAAAAGTTCTCGGACGTCATTTCTAAATGTGTTGAAACACTATAAAACGAGCCTGAATTTCAATTTTGCAATTTTCAGCGTATTTTAGCATCTCTCATGCACTCAGTTTCTCTGCTACTTCTTTGCTTTGCTTTATAGAATTGACTATAAGCAAAATGTTTTGTTGGGTAGCTCTACCTACATTTTGCTTCCATGTAATGAATGCTGCAGAAACTAGTAGATCACGTTGATCAAAGCTTATTTATAGCAACCTCATAGCTTCTATGTACAAAAACATAGAGCTTTCGTTCATTCCATAATTGATGAAAAAACTTGACTACTCTACTTTCCTGCACGGTTTCGTTGTCAAAATAATGATTCTTGCTCAAAAAGGGTGATGGACCGATTCTCCTGGATTTTCTCTTTCCAAGAGTACCATACATTTTTATTTTGTAACATTTTTAAAACCCGTTACTAACTACTAACTTAACTTTTAGCCGACCTAATAACTTTGAGAAAATCTATTCCAACATATTGAAAGCCCGCCAAAAGCTTGTTTTTTTCCAATTTTTCTTCTGTAATCAAGCTCAACAGTTATTAAAATTGGGCCATGTTATTTGACCTCTCAGAGGTGGTACCACATTCCAAAAATTTTTAGACCCACAGGCTTTTTTGAGTCTCATACGATATATTATAAAAAATTTGGAGTCTTGGAGTCTGCTGCGTTTCTATAGTTTTCAAATTTACTTTAAATGATGCAATAAATAACTCTAAGAATTCAGTAAGAAACATTTTCAAGGTTTTGGGTCACTTTTGTCTTTTTTGAATGCAAATAATTGATTTGATTCCACTAACAATCAGTCAAATCAATTTTTTTGGCTAATTGGGAAGGACAGAGATTTTTTTTGTGTTATAGTCTTGACAAGGACCAAACAATTTGTCATCCAAATCGAGAATGTACGTGAAGGTTAAAGGGAAATGAACGTTCATCAGTGCATTAGCAAGGAGAGTGAAAAATTTGGGTCATGTTAGATTTTTTATGAACTTTGCTTGTTTTCGCGTTCATCGACTTTTTCCTTTAATTTTTGTTCTACCGATTGCAGAATTATTCAGGGATCTGGAGCTACAATTTTGTTATATTTCTTACATATTTCTAGCTCCCTTCCTTACAAATTCCACGCATTCTTTTCACTCGAATAGAATTTACAATTGTTTTGCAATCACACTCCTAATTCTCTAAGTAACCAGGTTCAAGAGCTTGAGTAAATAGTTTCGACTCTTTTCAATCATTCTAGTCACTTCGCCACAATTCTTACAGTAATCAATCTCCTATGATTTGTTAGGAATTCGCTCAACTGATAAACATGAGGAAAACAGCTCTGTTTTTACTATTTTTCTTGTGACAACGGAACGGGGCATTAAATTTCCGCAATATTCCTTTAGCCAGTATACTATTACAGAACAGGTTTGGAGGTAATTGGTGCTGTTGATAGTTTAAAGTCTTATTCTAAACCGTAATTGACTTTCACTACTGCCCATCACGTATAATTTCCTCGTGGTTACCGTTGATGGATGGTTTCGCTAGTTAAATTGCATCTTATTCTGGCTTACTCCTTGCCTTATAAGTTTTCGGAAGCTTTTCATTCCTGTAGAGTCTTCCTTACTTCTAGAGCTGTCAACATTTATTAATTCTCCGCGATTCACGGGTTACGGTAACCAGAAATGGTCGCAGTTTACTGTTTTGCAGAATGACTATACATTCTACAACACGGCCAGCCGAGCCGATATCGCCAGGTGAACAAGAGCAAGTAGATGAACTCAGAGCAAGGTTTCTCCTATTTTCGCAATAAATTGGTCTCTTCATCCTTATTTATTAGGCTAAACGAATGCCTCAAGAAAATTCCTGATGATCTCGACACTGATCTGAATTTGGTTCGATGGCTTCGTGGTTACCATGGGGATATCGAGAAGATCTGCACGGTAGGGTCTAGTTTTTTAGTGAACTCAAATCGTTCTATATTATTCTTTCTCCATTTATTTTTCTTAAAGGCAGTGTCTCACCAAAATTTGGTTGCCGAAATTTTTGCATTTTGCAAGCCTGTCGGACCCTGTCTAGCACTGTATGGGCTTAAAATCGCACGAAGTTCCCGAAAATCCCGTTTTCTGGAGGCCCCGCGGAAGCAAGGTGGACGAGTTGTACCTTCCAACTTCAGCCCCAGCCACAGTGGCAGCAACAGACGGGAGGTGGATGCCAAGTGGAGGGACATGTTCAAACGCGTAAGGGGGGAGACCGAAGGAGTCGTCCGCGCGTACCACCTCGCTCTCCGCGTACCACTTTGAGCGAATTTTTCTCAGCGTAGAGGGGGTCAAATTGAGTGGGACTTGTTGCAATGGCCTATCTAGTGGTCCCTATAATAGAATATGTAAAGATCCGCGCGACCTCAAATTTGGTGGGACACTGCCTTTAAGGGTAGCAATGTTCACATTCTCAAGTTTCATAAGACAAACTTCGTGTGGAAGTGGGTCACAAAATCCTCAAGAAATAGAAGAAAATTTACAGTCTACCCCAAATTTCCGAAGTACTTGATATAAAACTTTTCAGTTTGTTGGTTGATGTCCAATTACTTCAAAAAATTCCATCGAAAAAAATCAGTGCAGTCAAGCGATCTCCTGATCATGCAAGGATATTTACAAAACTAACACTTTTCTAGATTAAATGCGCTCTTTTTCGAATAAATTTTTGTCTGCAAACTGGGAAAGAGAAAGTCATGTTTTAGATCAACTTATTCTTTACCGCGGTTGCAACATATTACCAAGTTTTGTAAGAACATATCGTGAGGGACTGGGTTTTTTTTTACAGAAGGAATGGGGTGATTCTCATAAATAGAATAAGATTTGCAATTCATTCAATATCCCAGAAAATTATTCCCTAGACAATGTACGATTAGCCCAAAAAATTTAAACTAGCTCATTGAATCGATCCTAGTCAGAATTTTCACTCAACAAACACTTTTTGAGAGTAAATGGCTTGAATTACTGTCCTATTTTTAGAATTTCTCAAAGTACGTTTCCTCCAGAATTGCCACTGGCTTCGTAGGCCGAGATCTCCCTGAGAAGTAAGCTTTTTGGCAAGATACTGATCTGCAATCATACTTTGAAACTTCATGCGTTCAGATACTTTGAGATGCCAGCCGTCAAACCATTTTTACCATTTATCGCCTCATCACGCCTCAATGATTCCGTATGGTCCGAAGAGCACAATGCATTCATGTTCGTTGAGAGAGCTTGGTCTCAGCCAAGAGAGGTAAGCAATTTTTCTGCGCGCTATTCCGATACCGAACAGGGTGAAATTCTAAATCTATGCCGAGTTTTGCTTAGAAGTCAATCATATGAGATAGCTTTTTCTGGAGGTTACGGTAGTCACACGATAAATGGGTCATTTATGTATCACGGATGGCCCAAAGTTCTAGCTAAAGTTGGGTGGTCATACTAATGAAGATCAAGTTACCAACGTTGCGAAGAGGGATTTCTGGCTAAACTATGAAGCTTTTTTACAGAGCTCTCAGAAGCCGCAAAAAGGGCATAGATTATTATGCTAAAAGTCCGGAATTTAGGCCTATACCATGCGCTTACCCCAAAAACCCCAAAAATGCCATCTCATGGAACGGATATGCTTAAAGAACCTGTCAATATTGTCCAACAATCCCGCAACTTGCGGAACTTCATTGTTGTTGTTCAGTTGCAGGAATGGCACCTTTTTATTCGGGATTTGATTATTTGTTTATTTTCAGTTCATCAAGACCTTCAAGACCAGCGATTATTTGATACATTGCTTTGGATACTCAGAATTACTGCTGCAGCTCATTCTCGAGTAAGTGTGTTTTGATAATGAGAATACTGATATTGATCGCCCGCCTTACTTTATTCTTATGGTTTTCAGCCTATTCATTTACTGAGATTAGTGGAAAAAAGGAATGTCTGTTGTGTAAAATATGCAAAAAATTAGAAATACTTTGATTTTGTGATTGAGAAGAGGGCTCAGATGAGAACATCCCATTTTGAACACAATGTATTACTACCTTTGCATAAACACTCCACTCTTTCCACTTCAGTTAGATCGAAAATCTCCTAAATTATTGAACTATAAGTTATTCAGACTTGAGAATTAGTTATCCATGTGATTTTCTCTACACAAAGGTCTTCAATTGACATAAAATTAGCCCATACATTTCGTCGATTTTTCTGCCCAATTTATCAAAACACTGTTCTCAATTCGCTTATGCTTCAGAGCTCCATTCCTTTTTAGGCGTGAAAGAAAGCAGCCAAAAGACAAAGGACCAGTTCAATTTATTGTGATTTTTGATCTTGCCACCGTCAATATCACAGACTATGTGAACCCTATGAGCGGCTATATGAAACTGTGGCAACTGCGATCAGAACTTTGGCAGGATTGGTAAGACCTTACTGTGAAAATCGTGGTCCACACATATGAAAGTTTGCAGGTATCCAGAAGTAGTGCAAGTGATCTACCTCGTTAACCCACCACGACTTGTTAGTCTAATTTGGAAAATTGCTCGACTATTTTTATCAGAAGAAAATCTCCGAAAAATGGTAATTGTTGGCGATAAGGAGATGCCTAAGCACATAAATAAGCACTGCGTTCCTAAGGAGTATGGAGGTGGATTTTCTATCCTTACTCCAGCAAATTTTTTTGGAAAAAGCAAAGTTTTTAGGGGAATTTGTAAATAAAGACATGCCCGGTGATGAATCCGGTGTGAGCATTAGACGGAAAATTACTTCAGCCGATCATTATCAAGCTTATCAGCATTATGAATTGCGAGGGGTTCAAAGGCCTAAGCCTGCTAAGAAGGTACCATCCAGATTCTTCGAAATAATAATTCTTATACTTCGGTATTTTCAGGACATCTCACCCGGAGAGTTCTTCACTATCCCAATCATCGTCCCAGATGGGAAAAGCCTCTTGTGGGATTTCACCACGAGTGGAGAAATCGAGTTTTTCGTTTATAAAGATAAGGTAGGTTACGTTGGGAAAAAATCTTTTAGAAACTGGAAAATAAAAGTTAATTTTAGGACGAACGCCACCTTGTCTATCCACGCTTACGATTGGTCACTGCAAAACTTGCCGAAGAAGGTGTTCTGCCCAACTTGCCCGGTGGAGAGTACTCATTAGTGTTTGGAAATCGTGGCACATATTTTACGACCAAACTTGAGTATGCTATCACACTCGTCTAAACTGTAAATCTCAATAAATCTATTAATGTCTTGTTCTCTGAATTCCAAAGAATCATCAACACAAAAATTTGCCTGACTGTGCGGGAAGGAAATATATTAGAAGGAAACGACACATAAAAATTAACCATAACAGCCACATTGTTTACTTCGTATTTAGCTGTACCCTAGTCTCTGATGTAGAGCACAACCGCTTGTGAACTCCAAGATAAGACTTCTAACGAATTTGCGACTTACATGACTCAAAGAACTCGTTTCTTCATTTTGTGCCCCTTTTTCTATACTACATACCATCGGCAGAATCGTGTGGAGGCGGGTTGCGTACTTCCCTGATTTTGAAAAAAGCTTAAAGGCAGCGTACACCCAAAATCTAAGTTACCGAATTTCCTAGATCTTTCTATATCATGTATATACTGGGCCCAGAAGAAGTTCAACTGCGTTGGTCCGGTCTCCCAATGCTGCTTCTGAGCGGAGAAAACTCCCCACAATTTTCTTTCACTACGCCCCTTTTCTTTCGCTCCGCCTCCTCCAGACGAATCCACGACAGCGTAAGCTTCAGTTGCCGTTGCAGTTGCTGTTGCAATGCTTGCATCTGCAACTGCAGTTGCAACAGTGCAGTTGCTTTTTGCGGTGCGCCTTCTTCGGGCGACGAACCACGACAGCATATGCAGCAGTTGCAGTTGCAACTGCAGGCTGTCATGCTGTTGCAGCTGCTGGCATGTCGACAAGGACGAGCAGTTCGAAACTCGTCCGTCCCTGAAGAGAGGGTCCTCGGAAGTCGGGGTTTTTTGGGACTTTTGGAGGATTTCAATGACATAACTGTAATCAGCGGCACGGAAAGGCCCCAGAATAACAAAAACATCGAAGGTGAAATTTTGGGTGTACGCTGCCTTTAACGAGAGAGTGCGAAATACAATGCTATAACGTGGAGGTTTAACTAGTTTATCCTAAAATCAGAATAGTCCCCAACACGCCTCCACACGAATCTGGGAGATGATGATACTTTCCACAAGGAAAAGGCAATTATCAGTCAGCTTTATTTATTTATTTATTTATTTATTTATTTATTTGACTATGAAGTCGACATCCAAATGACTCTAGACGAGGAAAATCAATATTTTCAGCGGTCGACCAAGATCTTATACGTCTTTCGAAAACGATACCCCCTGTTTAGGGGCCAGCGAGCCCGCCAGCAAAGGCTAGCTGGCCATAACCCAGAGAAAAATAAAGGTTTCAGAGGTTTTCGAAAGGACATTAAGACATAAAAAGAAGGGAAAAGTACAATAAAACTCTCGAAAGAGGGGGATGATCAGCAAGAAAAAAAGAACGAAATGACTACGAGGAGAACACTGAAGCAAAGAAAAAAGACAATTTGAGAGAGTTGCAATAAATACAAAATGGTAGAGGATCACTGGAGGTAGATACGTTTTTTTCTTCTCCTTCTTCTTGATTCGGGGAACAAAAATAGAAACATCAAATATAGCGAAGAATTTCTCCTTCTGGGAGACCGAAACATAGCCTTACCATATGAAACTTTCATTTCGATGCCTAGTCGTAATTTTTATCTAACGGTAGTTTGCTTCCAAACTATATATGCTCCCAGCAATCAATCTCCTACTGTATATCTGCACATACACAACTTATAGCTGGAGAGAAGTATCCAAATATTCAGCGAAGGTATCAATTTTTTCCAGCTCAAATGTTATCGTTGGATATGAAGTTACAACACGTCTTGCAAATACGTATCTTTACCACTAACAAAAATGACAAATTTTGTTGTTGTTGAATGTAGCGCAGGATGCTTACCTAATTATCTATCCAATTATTACGCATAAGGCGTGTCATATCCGGCATGATTAACGCAAGCACTCAGAAACTTAGAAAGGAAACGAAGAAACACTCAAGTCAGTTCATCTCCAGCCCCCTACTAGTTACTGGGAATAGAAAATGATTAAAGGCAGTGGCTCGGCAAAATCGAACATCTCGAAATTTTTATATGGAAGGTTGCTTGCATCCCAAAATGACAACGGAGCAAATAAGAGCGCACAGCAAGCTTTTGGATTCAGTATAGTCATTCCCTAGGAAGTTATGGCGCTGCATAGTTTGCGTGATTTGCGTTGATCCCGCGAAATTCCCGAAATTCCGCGACATTCACGGAATTTTTGCGCTGTGGGGCGGTATTGTAGTTCAAGCGAAAGGTTCGAAACTTATATGATGTTTCCAGTATTATCCTCCAAAACAACGCAGTTGATGATGGTCAAGGAAGTAGCACATCCGAGAATAGATATTAAGACACATAAGTCTCCGAAATATCCTGCTTATTACAACTGGAGCAATATTGTATACATAAGATAGGAAATTGGTGTCATGTGATTAGCTGAGCGCTGTAAGCAAGCCATTTGTTCATTATGGCACCATTTTTAGATTCCGTGCGCTTGTGGTAAAGATGTCTCCCTTTCTCGATTTGCTTTCAATAGAAACGAACTCTAGTTGTACTTTAGTACATTTGTGCTGAGCATTGGGTTGTGCTAGCATTACTGCATCAACCTAACATGAATACAATTCAAAATGAAGATGTAACTTGTTGTCTTTTTGGAATGCCAGTTGATTCAACGTTTTGAGGTTTTTATGATACTACAATTGAATAAAAAAACAAGTGAGGTTGACTTACATCAAATGAGATGTGTCAAATAATTCACCTCGGAAACTCATGATTCTAGCCTAGATAAAGTCGACTGCACGAAATCGCCTATACTGCTGCAGGTTGAACGCCCGCGAGCGTGTCTTCAACGCGGCTGCCGACTACGGGAGCTATGATGGCTCATGCGCGCGAATGCCAATGTTAGCCCGCAAAAGACATGCTCGCGTGGGCGTGTAGCCTGGGCGATTCCGCGCAGTAAATCATACTACTGCCTAAATCATGCACGGTCAACTATACTCTTTGTTATGATAGTACATTCTTGATGTACCCAAGTAAAATTACAAAATAGGCACGAAAAATCAAGATTAAATTGATTTTCGTCGTAGTGTATCATACATTGTACAAATATAGTTCCGAAATCTTTGAGAATTGAGTTTACCCGTTCAAATTAGAAACCAAAATGGCATGTTGGTTGTTACATCGTTTTGTACAGTATGATGACCATGTCTTGATGTTAGGTGATAGAGATGTGCCCAAAATTTGCATAATAAGCGAAATTATTGCAAGTGGGAGGAAATGACCTGGATTTATATGAGATGCTTGTAGAAATGAATACAATCTAGACTGCTTGCACTCACAATGGCTCGTGCATTCATTCTCCAAATATTACAGTTTATCTTCTATTTAAAGTCAATAAGGAATTTAAATCAAAGTTGGCAGTAGTTGTAAGTGCTTTCTGAAAAAAATTATATGCATAAAGCAAGAAACAATAAAATGTATGTCTACTCTGCTCTGTAGTTGTAAGTCACGATCAGGGCTCGGCACGAGGTGGCTAGATGAAAATGGAAAAAACAAAGTACCCCTTGACTTTTGGGAATTTTTACGAAGTCCCCTTTGACCCTCAACCAAATTTCCTCTAAAAACCTGAAAAATTCCCCAAAATCCCCCAAAAAACGAAACGTCGACTAAAAAAAAAAGGTCGCCGTCGCCAATTTTCCGTGTCTCTTCGGTCACAAAAACGAAACCCCCTTTGCTTTTCGTCCCAAAAACGATATCCAGCTTGCTTGTAAGCCACCTCGTGCCGAGCCCTGGTCACGATGCTCGAAAGCAATAATCCAGCCTGAGCCATGGGAATGTCTAAACGTTTTTCGTTAGCACTTTTTCAGTTTAAATGGCATTTAAAATTTACCCATATATGAAGCAGAGAAGTATGCACAATACCGCTCACAAAACGATCTGCGGATTCGCAGCGTGGTGCTATTTTCGACATTCCGAAAATGTCGGGAGTTTTTCGATATGTCACTATCATTGATTTTATAGAACATGCAATAATCGGCTGTACGGTAGATGTACGGTGATTTTTTTCTCGGATATGCCCGAGATTCAACGACCTGATGCTGTAGTTGCTTTCTGCTTGCTTTGTAGCCGCTGCAGCAGTTGTATTTGTAACACATCATTATTAATGATTACTCTAGCAGAACTTGATGCAGATAAAAAAATGCAGAAGTGTGCGTGTCCTAGTTATGACCTATTCTGAATGCTCACTTATTTCTTGAACCCTGCCTTAATGGAAAAGGACATTCCGTTTGGGCAACTTGCATTTTGAAAGATAAAAAAATCGCTGTGAAGCAAAGCTCTCAATAAAATGGCAAAAAACACTTTGTTGCTCCTAAATGCAAAGGCGAAGACATAATGTAACATCTCAATTCAAAATTTAATGCATTACAGCAAGACCATAACATCTGCTAAGAGTATTAACATTCTCACCATTATTGAGCAAAATGGTTTCGAGCGTATATAACCGTTGACAGCAAAGCACGCTGGCAATCTTCTTTTGACTTCTTTTTAGTACTGTTGATCAGTTTTGAATATCTGCTTTCAGATAACCACATTAAGAGACAATGCTAGCCTGGAAATTTTTTGTCATGGTAATATCGCAGCGAAATGTCAGTAACTGCGAATTGATTCGAACAACTTTAGGTTGTGTTGGCTGCCGCAACAAATGCCTCCATGATGTTTACCATCCCACCTCCTTACCGGAAACGTTCTTTATTCCGATGAACCGCCCGATGCAACTCCGTCACTGCTAACCATCCCGTTAACAATTTTCACAACCGCCACAATGAGCTCTATCATTGGAAGTGAAGTTTTTTTGCTGGTCTTTGATCTATTTTAAAGAGCAGTTTGTAACACACTGAGCAAAAATAGCAGGTAGTAGGCAAATAGAGACAACACGAAATTCAGAATAATGTCCACGTACAGTTAGGGTACTTGCTAATTTTATGCTATCTCACGATGTTCCGTAGCAGACCTGATGTGCAAACAATACAATAATTGTTCAAATACACGTAAAACAAAATGAGCAGGTAAGCCTCAACTTGAGCAGATAAGCTTG